GGGAAGAGCTGAAATGGGAATGCCAGCCCTGCTCCAAAGAACCCTCAGGGCTGCCAGGGCGCTGCCAGGCGTGGGCTGAGGGCAGAGGATGAGGGCACAGCAGCAATTCAGACAAAGGGCTCAGTGTTGGGGTCTGGGTTATGCCAGGAAACCCCAGCAKGAGCAGGGATGTGCCTTCAGGGAGTGTCCCTGCTGGAATGGCCCTGCAGAGCACAGCTGGACACATCTGGGGAAATTTCATCGCCTCTTCCGTGCCACCCTTCCTGCTCTGCTGGTCCCTGCCTTGCCTGGGCTTTCAGCACTCTCAGCTTCATGCTCTGGGTGCTGATTTGGGAATAGCCATGGTGATTTTAGAGCTGAGTAGGTTGGAAACACCAGTTCACTCTAAAAACTCATCCTGTGGTGGCCATGAAACCACTGGGACAAAGGAAATCACCAGGGCTCGTGGTGTCAGAGCTCAGAGAGAAACTCCAGACCCCTGCTTCTTAATTTTTTTTAGGACACATTCCTTACTTCTTCTGTCCTTTTCCTGGACGGAAAAATTATGTTTGCTGGTGAAAGTAAAATCCTAGTGCAGCTTTCACGTGATAGCACAGAGAGATAAGCTTAGGGTGCAGAAAACCCCTGATTTTATCCCAGTTTAACCCATGTTAAACCTCCCCTATATTCACTCTTGGACAGAGTTCAGYCACTCCAGCTCTTCCCCATAAACTGAGAACCTTTTCTGCCTTGTTTGAGACAAAACCCTCCCAAAGCTCGGAAGAGACTCAGCATAAACAGGCAGAGGGATGGGTCTGGAAGTGTGAGGGACAGCAAATTTTGGGATTTGACTCATCAACAATGAATTTCCTTTCCTAGGCTGGAAGGGTCCCTGAGCACCCCTGGGTGCTGTACCTTTGGGAGACAGGAACATGGAGAATCTCTTGAGGTTGTCGGGCTGGTTCCACTCGTAGTTGTTCATCATGAACCGRTGGTCACCTGCAGAAGCAGAGCAGGGAATGAGATGGGGGAGGCCCTTTGGTGTCACTGATTCCCTGGGGGATCTCTGGCTGGGAGTTAAAACATTTCTSGAGCTGCCCAGAGTCCAAAATAAAATGTTCCCTCAGCAGCAGAGCCAAGCTGAAGGATCCAACCACTGAGGATCTCCAAAAATCCAGAGGGACACCTGAGGGATGAGGCATTTTCTTACCAAAATATTGCTGTGTGGCTAAAAATGTCCCTTGACTTCAAAAAATCTGAGTTTGGCTCCTTTTGTGTGTTGAACCTGAGCCCGGGGCTGGCTGATCAAGAACTGCCACTGCTTAAAGCCCCAGAAATCAGTTCAGGGAGGGTTAAATGGGTTGATTTCTCCAGCTTTTAGAGAAAGATGCTGCAGCTGAGGYGCAAACAGCTCCAAACTCTTGGACAAGAGTGGCTGGTTCAGTTCCAGGATCAAACTCACTCCCACACAGCCTGGGTTTGGTTTTCTGACACTGATTCACAGGAAATGATGTTTTATCACTACACTTGCTCATAAAAACACTTTCTTGCAAGGTCTCTATTGTTCTCTGCAAGGAAGCAAATTCAGTTTTCATGTTGAAATAGCTCCATCCTTTCACTCTCCAGCCACATAACAAACTTTTCTTTCATTTCCCCCATTTATTTCGATGCTATTTAAGCTCCCTGAATGCTCCCTGATTATTTGTCTCCTTGCCATGCAGGTACCTGTTATGACAACTAAAAGGATTCCCTTTGGAGTCTGCTATTAAGAAGCTTTCATTCCATTAATATAATATTTCTTCCTGAGAAGTTTTTTTTAAATTTTTTTTTTTTTTGCAGCACAAGATCAAGCCAGCTGCAAATGAATTTGCTGCAGTGACTCAGGGGGAGTCTGAGTTAATAACTCCAGAGCTCCTTAATGGATTTAATTCCCTTGCAGCCACTGGATGCAGAGTGCTGCCCTCTTTCATCTGTAACCGTGGCTTGGAAAAGGGRGAGAGCTCTGAAGCTCCTGGGATTYRCCATAAATGACTTTTCCCAACTTTTCATTAGGCAGACTCCAAGCTGTGTCCCTGGTAAAGCACTCAGCTTTCAGGCAGGAGTTTCTTGCCCTGCTCAGAAATGTTTTGGTGCTCRAATTCCGTGAATTTCAAATCATAACGGCATCAATAGCACGGAGGAGATTCCAATTAAAATAATCAAGAAGTAACCAGGCTTGATCCTGGGCTACCAGAACTGAGTAGATGAGGAACTTTGTTGGGTTATAAAAATGGCCAAGGAAAATGGCTCAGGAGTGGCAAGAACCAGCCCAGCAGGTGGAAATTCTGCACAGCTTCAGGTGAACAGAGAAGGAAGAAAAACACCCAGATTTTTGGATCTGTTTGTCACCCATTGACATGAAGTTATTGTTAAATTCCACAGTAATTCTCAGAAAAAATGCCCAGATTTTTGGATCTGTTGATATGAAGTTATTGTTAAATTCCTCAGTAATTCTCAGAGAAATGCCCAGATTTTTGGATTTGTTTGTCATCTATTGACATGAAATTATTGTCAAATTCCTCAGTAATTCTGGAGCACGTGGAGTGCTGAGAATGCAGCCAGGAATACTGCAGTGCTGATGTTGAAGGACAAGCAATGTTCAGTTTCTGGTGCTGCTTTAAAGGCAGGGAGAGTTTAAAATCTGGCTCTGAGCACTTGGGATGTGATCCCTGCCCTTCCTGAAAGGTGCAAAAGGATCTGTTTCATTTAATGGACTCACATCTCGTGGACAATGGCAGCACTGGGCAGCAAGGTGTTAATAGAGAGGAAATATTATTAATTTGGGTGAATTAACAGTGATTTTGCCCATTTTCAGCACAACTCGTGTTGTACCAACCTCCCTCCAGGTTATTCCTGCACTTTTTAAACTCCCACATCCTCCTGGAAGAGCAGGGTGCCATTTATCCTCCCGTCACCCACTGCTGCCCTGGCATCTGGGGTTCCTCAATGACATCCTGACAYAACCCCGTGAGACAACCACTCATTGCCATCCCAGGGCAAGAGGTCAGCCCGTGGGGTTGAGCAACCTGCCCAGGGTTCCAAATGCTCCAGGGAARTGCAGCCAGCACAGCCCCGTTGTGGTGCCCTGTCCTAATCTGAGGTGAGAGCCTGATGTAAGACAAGCCCTTTATCCGCTGCTAATTGGGAGGAAGTGGGTTGTAAATTGGGGAGATGAATTTTGGGGCTGTGGGGTTGGCTGGGACCTGTCTGCTCACCTTAAAGATCACMTTAAACACCACTGAGAGCAGCGAAGCTTTCCCGAGGGAACACGGAGCAGAGTTATCCAACTCAAATTGCAGCTAAACACCCAAACGGAGCCCTTTTCACTGGGAAAATTCGATTTTCAYGTATCATCTTCTCAGTGACAGGTTCTCACAGGGTTATTTCATGTTCCACAGGCTGAGACTCGCATTTAGAATATTTTCTGTCACACAAGCTAACTCAGTGTACAAATAGGATTTCAAATTTGCCATCCCATGTTGGCCTTTCTGACACCGCCTTCCCCCCTCACTGAGCAGAGCTGGGGAGTTTTCCCTCGTGGGAAATGTCCTGCTGGAATTCCAARGGTTTGGGGGAGCCTGGCACGGGGCAGAACATCCCTGCAGGGCTCTGGCAGGAGGGAAGGGTGGCTGCTCTTGACCCCACACAGGAGGTGGCTGAGCCCGTTAAACCCTAAACACAAAACCCTAATGTGAGCCAGGAATCAGGGAAATGGGGGCAGTTTGATCCCCTAAACAAGATACTTGAAATCCCTGGCACTTCCACTGATTCCACCCCCACAAAGGAGCGGCAGATATTCTGATATTCCAGAATTCATTCCAGCTACAGGCGGTGCCACTCCCACTTTCCCCCCTCCTTCATCCTCCTCCTTCTCTCATCATCCTCATTTTTTCCTGACCCTGCACCCAGGGGAGCAGGRAGGGAGGGAAGGGGGATATTTTGGCCGTTTTACCGTTCTCCATGTGGTTTCTCTCGATGAAATTGCGGCCCAGGTCTGCTTTGCAGATCTTCTCCACGTGCCTCATGCAGACGTTGAGGAGGTCGTCCCTGAGCAGCCCCATGGAGGGGCTCATGCTCTCCCCTTCCAGCAGCACGCTGTAGGTGGGCAGGGATGGAGGGGGCACGTAATTCCTCATCAGAGCCCCGAATTCCTGGCAAAAAATCAAAGGGAGCACTGGTTAATGAGGAGCAGACAATGTGGAGGCTGAATCCAAGGGCAGTGGTTGATGTTTGACTTCAAACGTGCAAAGGAAAGCAGGGAAGGTGGGCAGGAAAATGTTCTAGTAAATAATAAAACCACGTCCATAATAAAACCATGTCCATAATGAAACCATGTCCATAATAAAACCATGGAAGGCTGAAGTTCACTGCAGAGCAGACACAGCTCCACATGTCCAGGTGAATCCCTGACACCGATGTGCAGTGAACTGGGGGAGGTTCACACATCTCACACTCACAAGGGATTGATTTGGGACAAAGCCAGTGCCAATGAGCTCTGTGTCACCTGCAGGAAGAGCACGGAGTCGCTGATCTGGTGGATCTGCTCCCTGTTCTCCTTGTCCTCCCGCAGCAGCTTCGCYCTCTCCTCCAGCTCCTCCACGATTTCCTTCACGTTCTCGGAGGCGATCTTTTCCCGCTGGTCCAGGGCAGCCTTCACCTCATCCCTCTGCCTCTCCAGGTCACGGATCAGCTCCTTGAAGTGCTGGTCCACCGTGGCTTTCTCGTTGGTGGTGTAATTCTGGATGGGGAAGGRGCACGGAGAGGAGGAGAAAGAAAATTAATATTAAAATTCAATATTAAAATTTAATTCAATTTCATTTCCCTATTTGCTAATAGAGGGACACAGAGGGGGATAAATCCAAGAGCTCTATGATTTTAGATCATGGAAACTCCAGCTCTGCAAGTCTTAGCAGCAGGGAAGTTGTGCCAAGACAAGCAATAGGTGTTCCTGCAATAGTCACATGTATGCAATCCAAAAGGAGTGCTGCCTTCCCAGCTGGAAGAGCATCTCTCATATTTCAATTCCTGCGCTCACAGACGATATTTAAAAACACTCCTCAATCATGCTTCTGCCTCCTGGACAATTTAAGGACCGAATTCCCACCATTTCAAAGGAGGAAAGATGCTGAAAAGCTTTTCACCAGCCTGACCTCGAGGTGCCTCTGAAATATTCCTCAGAAGGGCTGTGGATGGAGCTCCATTGAGAGTCAAAATGTCTAGGTCAGGTTTCCAACAATAATAATAATAATAATAATAACAGTAATAATAAAGCAGATGAAAAGCAGAGCTGGTGAGCCAATGTGCTCGCACCACATAAAAGGCAGAAGAATGGCTTTGCCTGTTAATATTATGCAAATTTTCTGGGGTGTCTCCAACTTGTGCTTTCACTGCTTTATTCAGTTAGGCTAGAAATGAAAAAAAAAATAATGCCATGACTCCATCCCAACTCTCACCACGGTGCAAGAATTATAAAGGAGCCCTCTCTCAGCATGGAAATGAGCTGCTCCACCATAAATAAGGTGTTTGTTGGGGTGAGAGCATCTGTTCTGCTGCCTTATCTCTGTCAGGGCAGCCCAGAGCCCTCCTGCAGGTTATTTGTGGGTTTTGTTTYTAATTCTGCCTGGCTGCTGGTGATGGAAGGGCCATAAAGGACCTAAAAAAGGACCCAGAGCAGGGAGGTGCCTTGGTTTTGTAACCGGGGCTCGATCTCCCCAATCTCCCCGCAGGGAATGTCGCAAGATGACTTCAGTGGGAGTTGTTGTTTCCAAGATTTGGCTCRGAGTTTGGGATAGGGATGAGATAGAGGCTGGGAAGGGATGGAGCGGGGAACAGCTGGGTGGCTTGAGGAAAGGATGGGAAGGAGAAAAAACGGGGTGATCAGAGGAGGAAAAAGTGAATTTAACACCTCAAACACACCTTGATGCGGTCCCTCTCCTTCTGCCACTTGTCCACCTCATCCTCCACCTCGATGATCTTCAGCTGCAGCTGCTCCTTCTGCAGGGACAGCTCGGCCTGYGGGGAGAAGAGGGGACGGGGAGGGAGCCTGGTGAGGCTGAGAGAGCCGGGAGCTCCAGGCTGGGGATGGCATCACACGCTGCCCCCGGGCAGCAGCCCAGCAGATCCAGCTCCCTCCCAGGCTGTCGTGGGGCTGCTTTGAATCACATGGGAGTCATGAGCTGCAGGGGAAGGGAGCTGTTTCAAAATTCAGCTGTGTGTGCAGAGCAGGGCCCAGCCCAGGGTGTGCCTGTGCAGCAATAACAGTTTTCATGTAATTACGGAATGACGTTTGACGAGTGTTGCAACAAGAGGATGATGCCTCCGGCAGGAATTCTGTTTAGACAGGATTGTGGATTAATTTGCTCTGAATTGAGAGCTTTCATGTAGCGATGGAGCTGGGGAATGCTTGGAAAAAAATAAAAAAATAAAAAATTAAAAGAACCACAGAAGGAGGAGGGAGGAGGTGCAGCCAACCTGCTCAGCTGAGATCAGCAGCTTTGCTGGGATTCATTTGCATTTCGTTGTTCTGTGCCTTCCAGAGGAGCTCAGAGCTGAGGCTGGCACAGGAATTCATGGCAATGGAGGAGGTTGGGCAGGCATTCACCATTCCCCAAATCGCTGTTTCCCTGATCAGACCCAGATTTTGGCAATGCTTTGCCCCGTTAACCCCTCCCTGGGTCGTTCCCATTCACCATCACAGCCCCACAGATCCTGCCCCAGCCTTTGTCAGGGCATTTCTGCATTTCGTGCGTGTGCAGCTTGGTCACGGCCGTGGCTGGAGGCAATCTGGCTGTGGGACACCCAGCCCTGAGCTSTTGAGGAATTTTGGAGCTGCCAGAAATTCCCGGTGTCCTGTGCCATGTTGGGAAAGCCCTCAAAACCCGCTGCTCGTGTAGGATCTCCTGGAAAACGGTTGGATTAACCCAAACCGCTTAAATTCAGACCAACAATCAGAGGCATGGATGGATAAATCCACTCTCACTCATGGATAAATCCACTCCCACCCTCCAGCTGCCCATCCAGGAAYGTAACAGAGCAGGAAAATCTGGGTCTTTATTGATCAGAGCTGCCCTCGGGAGTTTAGAAGTTTTTGTTTCTCCACTCAAAATGAAGAGCAGGGAAGAAGCTGTGAATGAGCCCAGAGAGGAGCTCTTTGATGACACTCAGGGGTCTGAGCACCCTCTGGAGCTGGAACCAACCCCAGCTGCAATAATTCAGAAAATTCCTGTTCACAGAGGGTGAATGATGTTTTATTGCCTTATAAAACAYGAGAAAAGTGGGAAGGAACAAGGGAAATGTGCTCTGAGGTGTGTCAGTGCCACAAAAGGTGCATCTCTAAATTGTTTTTAGGAGTTGGGAGAGCACTGGCCCGCTAAATGCGATCCACACACCCTCGGCAGTGACCATGAGCTGATTCTCACCCTCTGCAGGGGTTTAGGGTTTCACATGAAAGGATTTTSTGGCACAGGTTCATCAGGGAACCCACACTGCCTTCCAGATGAGAAAATTCGCCCTGCTGCTGATCAAATGAACAAAGAGCTGAGCTTGATCMCGTAATTTTCACATTTTCAAGACAGTGACTTGGAGGAATTCCTGCTGCTTTCCATTCCCACGTGCGGTGGGAGATGTCCYGTGCATCGAGACTCCTCACAGCAGGGAAATGCAATGAGATGGAAATGTTTCAGATCCATTTATCCACTGCATTAACCAATGTGAGAAATTACACCCAAATTCCGGTTGTTTCCTGGAGCCACAGAGCTGCATCCAGGTGGAATTAATTGTTAAAAGCAAAAACCTAATTCCTGGAGCTATTATTTCGCTCCTCACCCCCAAATATCTGAGCATTCTTATAAGAATGCGAGTCAAATCTTACAAAAAAATTTTTTTTTTGGGGAAGGCCTTTTCACAGCCATATAAACACTCCCATACTCAAAAGATTTGCAGCAAAAATGACAGGAAAAAATAAATAAACCAGGTGATTGCTGGAAGGTAGTGATAACAATATTACACTTTTTAATTAAAATTCTCTAAGGAATTTTGGGAACTATTATTTGCAAAAGTGATCCTGACTCTTCAGCAGTTCAAACACCACGCAGAAAGGTGGTTTGGGATGTAACAGKCATTTAAGGGCAGCCCTACAACAATTTGGAGGGAGATTTATGATTTGCAAATGGAAATGATGGAGATGGTCCCAATGGCTGAGATGCAAATCCCACACTCAGCAAGGGCGGGGGAGGTGAGTGGAGGTGGGAGTGTGTGATCCTGCAAAAAAATAAAATAAAAACTACAAAAAACCACCCTAAATGTAGGAAAAAAATGTTAAAAAGTGGTACAGGGAGATTCTGGAATGGTGGAAAAACTGGCAGCATGGGCATAGGGATTCAGGAGTGGTGCTCTGGAGGTGGAGCACAACATCAAAGGGTTCAGCAGGTGATTTCCTGATGTTTTTAAGACCATTTCTTTGTCTGGGAGGGTGCTTTATCTGCCCATGTATATCAGAGTATAGGGCCCACAGGTGTTAGGGACAGGCAATGTCTCAGCTTCATTCCCCAGGGGGAAATTTCTATTTTTCTTCATATTTCTYAGMYTTTCYAGGGTCAGAACCACCCAGAACAAATCCATTTTTGGGGTTTGGGAGGTCCCAAATAGAGTTAAGACAGCAACACCACCAGTTGTAGAGGGTGCAGAAATAAGAAGAACAGCAGGGAAAAATCCMGAAAATCCAGGTTTAGACAATTTTTAACCACAGAAAGCTGAGGAACGCAGACTTTGAGAACCTTCCAGCTAAGATAGGCTCCCCTATTAAACTCTGAGTTAATTAGGGCACTCAGGAGGCTGCAGTGAAAGCTCRGAGTGTTCATCCAACCCCCTCGAGCTGCGCCCAGCCCCGGTGCTGAGCAGGACCTGCACAGCGATGATGCAAGGTGGTTTCTGCAGGACAAGCAGCATCATGCCCTCAACGCCCTGGGAAGCCAGGCCCTGGCTCAGGGAACATCCCAGTGTCCCCAGCCTGGGAGAGCTCTGCTCATTAACCTGCCATTAATTAGCAGCATCCACAGGCAGTCCCAGAGCTGGGGAAGCGCTGTTCAAACTCGTTGTCCCAGCAGTTTGAGAAGTCTGAGACATTATTTCTTTGGTTGAGATATTATTTCTTTGGTTGAGATATTATTTCTTKGAAATTGCGTTTTCCCATCTCAGTTCCTGTTGAGCACATTGGGGTTTCAGGGGGTTAAACCCTCTGGAGACCCTGCAAAAATGTTCCTGTGGGAGATGAGGCTCCCTGCACAGCTTGGGGAGAATTCCTGGCTTGCAAAATGGATTTCCCCTCCTCAGAGTGGAGGATTAATGCAGAATTTGGACAAACAGGCAGATCTGCTCAGGCCACAGTTTGCAGCAGGTCACCACCCCCTGATACGAGATTTCCAGATGGGAACAGTGTCCTTCCTGCAGGAAACTCTGGGGACAGAACATCTATTTTAAGCTGGTGTAGATAAGGTCTCCCAGCCACCTTGCCCCRGTGAGAGAGGCCCCCAAAACCCTTCCCAGGTTTTATTTTTTTTTCACTCTCTGCTCAGTGAGTGATGAGAATCCCTCCAGATCCATCCCTGTGGATGGTTTCCCTCAAAGCCTGGCTCAGCTCTGTGAAATCCCCACTTTTCAAAGCTGYTCCGTGGGGAGGAGGAACACCCAGCTCCCCTTCCTGCACACTGAACTTTGCTTTAAAAGGGAAAGAATTAAAGAGAAAAGCGAATCCAGGGTTTTTCAGCCGAGCTGGGCTGACCCCAAGGCTGTGCTGGCAGGCAGTGCCAGGTTATTCCCAGCTCTGGGACTGGTGAAGTTGTCTCACCTGGAGAACAGGCCTGTAAAACAGGTYTGGGATGAAGGATCCCCTTTCAGAATCAGGGATGCTGGCTCAAATGGGGCTCTGCTTCTGCTGATAAATCCAGGGTTTTACATTTTACTGGATTTATTTACGCTTTCATGGAGCACCCTCACTTTTCAGGCATGAGTGATCATTCCCATCCTCACAGATTTTTTCCTGGCTGATTTTTTGTGCTGATTCTGCTGCAAACTGTTGCTCCTCCTTTAAATCTGCAGCAGCAAACGAATGCAAAGTGGATCTGGGGAGAGCATGAAAGGTTTGCCGGGTGCAACAGGCAAATAGCGCTGGGTGGGAAGTCAGGACAGATCCTGTCTGAGTGCCTTTCCCTCGAGTCTGCTCAGCAGGAGCAGGGGGTGAGTGACTCTCACCCCAGGCTCCTGGAAGGCTGAAAATGTTGCTGAGTTTTGTGTTTTGGACAGAGATAGCAGGCTCTGTGCTGCTCTAACTACAGTGTCTGTGCCCTGCCTTGTTTGCATCCCTGTCCTCCYGGCTGCGCTGTCTCTGTCTGCTCATGGGACCAGCAGCGTTTCCTAATTCCACAGAAAGATCTTTCCCAACCCTAAAGCACAGCTCCTCTCTTCCCTGCAGGGCTGCAGCCAACAGAGGTTGAAACCTGCATTAATCCTGCATGACTGAAGGGCTGATGCACCCAAACTGAGTTTATTCTGRGACAGTTTATTCTATTCCAGATTTATTTGTGCCAAATCTTTGAGCATCCAGGTTGGCAGCACAGCACAACAGAGAGAAACAAACACCAGTTCTGGAACCCTCTCCACTTCTGGAATCATAACCAGCCAGGGACTGGGAAATCCTGGCTAAACCAGAGAATAAACCAGAGAATAAACCAGAGAATAAACCAGAGAATAAACCAGAGATTAAACCAGGGAATAAACCAGAGATTAAACCAGAGAATCCTGGACATCCAGCACTGTATGAAAGGCTCTGTCCGGATGCAGCTTTACTCAGGTCACCACTCCAGCAGCAGAATGAATTTGGAAGTTTTAAAGCTGCCCTGGAGCTGCTGGGAAGCCAAGCTGAAGGAACAGGGCAGGGATAGGGATGACCTGGTGTGGGGTTGTTGATTTACCCTCCAAAAGGGCAGCAGCACCAGCCACCCTTCCCATTTGTGGGGACATTCCTGCTCTGACTGATTTGATAAGGAGAGGTGTTACACACCAGGGGCTTGGAAATATTCATTGCTCCTTGTGGTTGCTGCCGAGGCTCCACCTCTGGTGAATAAATCAGGGGTGGGAAGGAGCATTTGTAGGCAACAGCTTTCGTGCTAATTGTTTTTGTCTGAGTGAATGCTCGCTCGAGTTCCAACAAGATGGAACTCGCTGTCAGGAGAAACCTGCACATGTGCATGATTCACRGTGATAAATCCCCAACCCTTTGGGCTGAGCAGCAGCAGAGCCAGTGCAGGAGCYGAGGGTGGCCCAAGGACTCTGGGGGAGGAATCAAACAGCCTTTAAATCACAGATCTCTGCTCATCCGTGGTTGTCTTTTTAAAATCAAGGTGCTGGAGGTGTCGCCAGCCTCAGGAGGAAGGATCTGAGCAGTTTTGCTTCCTCAGGAAGCAGCTGTTGCCCTCATTTCGGGGTGGGAATTGGACACCCCGGCAGGCAGCAGACACAGCTCCGTGTTCCAGCTCTGCAGTGCTCAGGGCTGACATCAAAACCACRGGAACGGGCAATTAGGGAACAAACAGCAGCCTGGCGAGCCCTGCAGGAATTTGGGAAAGGCTGGCTGCTGAGACRTGGAAGAGGCTCTGTCTGGTTTTCAGGCTGGAGATGACATGGCAGGAAAAGAGCAAAGACAGAGAAAAGCTCTGCACAAGATGCTCCTTCAGCCCGATGAGAGGAATCTTCCCAGCTCCTTAGAAAGAGTGAAATTTTTCTTCCCATGCAGGAGAATTTCTCACAGCAGCTGCCTGTGTTTGCCTGGTCACCACATCACAGCGCTGGTTTGGGGTTTAGGAGCTCTTGTGCCCTTCCAGGTGCTGACTGTGTGACTCCAGGCACTTTGTTTGATATAATTATCATTTTCCAGGGCTCCTTTCTGGCATCTYTCCTGTCCTGCCTGCTTAGAAAGTTTCCAGGCCAGGACCTGCTTTTACCACGGGGATGTGCATCACCAAAAGTGGTGAGCCTCTGATTTTTGCYAGAACAAGTGAAATACTCCTCATCCACCCAGAAAGCAAACAAYAGGAGGCTTTCAGCAAACAAAAGTGAAAGACATTTCATCAGTGAAATCCCCCTGAATGCCCATCCTCTGAACCTGCTGCAGTAACACTTCAGTGGAAATGACTGTGTTTTGGGCTTTTTTTTTTCACCTAAGCTTCAAAAGACTCTTTCCATAGGTGTGGCTCAGTAGAAAAGAAAAAAGAAAAACAACATAATCTCACTGTAAGGAGCTGAGATAGCAATTTTCAATAGTTATTGGTGCCCATGAGTAACCGTAACAGCCACGGGTTTGACAATTTGTATTCTGGAAATCCTGAACCTGAGCAGTGCCCACCTTTCTGTGGGTAACACCACACAAACACTGGGAAAACTCAAACAAAAAAAAAAGTAGAATTTAGGTGTCAATCTTCAAGTGTGCTGAAAAAAACGTTTCTCCATCCCCTAAACCCAGTGTGCAGCACAACTCTGCTGCTCCCACCAGGATTAGGAGAACCACAATCCCACGGCCAGCAGCACCCAGGCAGTATCAGCTCCCCAGCAAACACCACAGCATCAGGCGTGATCTGAGCAGAGATTGCAGGCTGCGGCGTGACCTCGGCATCTGCAGGCTGCTGTGGACGGGAAGGAATAAAAATCAAAACAAAATTACCTCTTTGCCCGCCTTCTCGATCTCCACCGTCACCGTGCTGTGGTTCTTGTGCTCCTGGAACATGCAGAGGTAGCAGATGCACATCTGGTCRGTCTGGCAGAACAGCTCCATGGTCTTGCCGTGCACGGGGCATTTCCTGGCCTCGAAGTCCCTGATGGGGTCCAGSAGTTGGTGGTCGCGGAAAGCCGCTCCCTCCAGGTGGGGCTTGAGGTGCAGCTCGCAGAAGGAAGCCTGGCACACCAGGCACGACTTGACAGCCTTCTGCTTGTTGTCGATGCAYGAGTCGCAGAGAACGTCCTCCAGCTTGACGCGGGGCCGGGAGCCGGCGGCTCTGTCGGCTTTGTGGAAGGGTCTTCTCAGGTCGCCCGTCTCCACCAAGGGCAGYGAGGATTTCTTCAGCTCGCCCATCTGCCCCGCCGAGAACAAAGACTTCCTCGCTTCTCCATCCCCGGGCAGGAAGCTCTTTTTGGAATCCAAGGAGAACAGGGACTTCCTGAGGTCGCCTTTCTCCGGGAAGGAGAGCGCCGGCCTCCGCATGTCTCCGATCTGYCCGCCGGCGAACTGCATCTTCTTGGAGTCGGCCGAGTCCATGCTGAAGTAGGTTGACCTCTTCTCGTCGGATGACTCCACAAACTGAATGATGGGCCTCTTCCAGTCACTCCCAGAGAAGAGGGAGCTCTTGATTTGCCCCGTCTCCAACGCAGCACCGCCCGTGCCTTTTATAGCTTCTTTCTCGCCTCCGCCAGGGCTCGTGGCCTTCTTGGCTTCCTCCTCTTTTTTAGGGGCAGTCGGGCTCTTGGCGTCCTCGGCCTTGCCGGCGGTGCCGTTGGTCCTCGCTGCGTTGGCCGTTTCCATGCTCTGGACAGGTTTCTCTGCTCGTTCTGTGCTCCAGCTCCCGTCTCTCAGCCCYCTCCAAGGCAGGCAGGCTCTGCCTGGTCGCGATCCCAGCCGGGAACGGCTCTGGAATGTGGYGAAGCTTCTCCCCGAGTGACGCAGCGCGCCCCGACCGCGCCGAGGTGGATATGGGGGAAAGGAAAGGAGGAAAGGAACGAGCAGACGTGGAGGGATCAGAAGCTCCAGCTGTGCACTTAATTATACAAGGCAGTCCACACCCAGGAACATTCTTGTCTAACCAGGTTGGGGAGGAAGGGCTGTTTATATACATAGAAATGGCTCCCCCAAAAAAAAAAAAAAAAAAAAAAAAAAAGTCATTTTCATTAAGATGTAGCAACCAGTTCCACCGCTTGTTTCAAAAATAATTTGGCCGGCAGTTGAGGTTCCCTCCTCGCAGAGATGGGCAGGGTCGGGGAGACCACAAGATGCCCAAGGTGGGTTTGTTAACTGGGTCATCCCCATGCACCAGAAAGATTGGGGTTGTAATTAAAATGAACGCCTAGAACAAAGCATTCTTCAGCCAGGCTCCCCCCAGGGCTCGCTGCATTCAGGAGGGATGAGAGATGCGTGGTTAATACCGGCTTTAAACAGCTCCATTATCTTTATTTTGATTTTTATTTTGGGTTTGTGCAAGGTCTGGCCATCCAGACCTGGGAATGACCCAGAACAAGCAAAACTTGGCTGGCCCTGCTTTTCCCACAGGCCACAGGATCTCCAAGAGATGAGTGGCAAAATAAACCCCATCAAACCCCCATTGTGTGCTCTGAGATAAGAGCTCAGCTGTGTCCTACACAGCTCTGCCCATAAATGTCCTCRGAATTGAGAAACACCTGGAAAACACCTGGAAGAGGAACCATTTCTCAGCCTAGATGGTTGAAATACCACTTGCCAGAGAAAAAAAGTGAAGGAATTTAAAAACTCAATCCATCTCCAGCAGTTGAATTCCTGGGAAATGCTCACCCTTTGGAATCACAGAAGTTTTTAGGAGGAAAAAAAAAACTCTTTATAGGCACTGGTGGATTCCAGAGACTTCAAAACAACGAGGTTGATCTTCCCCTCACATCACTTCGGATCAGACTCGGAATTTCAGTGAGATTGCTCTKAGATGAATGCCCAGGGTGCAAATTAACCACGCCAGAGATTTGYGCTTAATTGAGTTTTCTCAGAATGCACCGGTGGCGCTGCTGGAGAAGGTGGATTTTACCTGTAAAAAATCTCCTTAAAAATCCCCTGTTGGAAGGGATCTGAGTGAAAATCCAGCTCTGCATTTTCCAGATTTTTCTGTGGTGTGGAAGAAACAGAGGCAAAGCAGGAACAGCATAAATTCTGGGTCTGATAGGAAAAGGAAAGAACCTGAGTTACAGACACAGCTTCTAAAGGCTTTGTCTGTGCAAAATGAGAGAAAAAGAAAGTGAAATTCTTTTTCTGGGCTCCTGGCTCATGGATCCGTCCCTCTCGCTGCCTGCCTGTCATTATGACTCTCCCTTTATGAAAAATGCCTCGGCATTCTGCATTTTTTGGATAATGGTTGTGGGGAAAGGGCATTTTTTTCATTAATAGTTTTTTATTAATAGGCCCACAGCCTCCCATGAGTCAGAATTCATTCCCCGGTGCAGGAAAGGGCAATGCGTTTTTTAAAACCCGATTTCATAAAAGAAAAAAAAAATTGACTGACATAAATGCATTTCTTGCTGGGCTGAGCTGTTCTTTAGAACATCAACAGTCCTGTAGGTCTCCAAGTAATTAAAAATACTGTAGGGTGGAGGCTCCTGTTCTCTCTCACGTGTACAGAGGAGGCTCAGCAGAGMTTTTCCAGCCAAGGTGAATCCTTGAGGAACAGAAAACATCCCTAGGAAGAGGTCTGGCTTGGACAGAGGTGGCCTTGGTTTGTTTTCCTGATGCTTTGATAAGATTTTGGAGGAGGTGAAGCAGATAAAAGGGTTGAGGGTTGAATTTTTAGGTGTTKGGTTTGCTGATGCAAATGCAGGGTAAATCAGAATAGGATGGAATGGACCTTAAGGATCATTTATTCCCATGGCAGGGGCATCTCCCACTGTCCCAGGGTGCTCCAAGCCCCGTCCAGCCTGGCCTTGGACCCTTCCAGGGATGATTCAGGGACAGCCACAGCTGCTCTCAGGCTTCTTCTGGGCCTCCCCACCCTCCCAGGGAAGGATTTCTGTCCAATATCTCACCTAAACTCCCTCTCTTTCAGTTTGCACCCATTCCCCTTTTCCATTTTGTGATCTAGACCCCCTCTCCAGCTGCCCTGCAGCCCCTTCAGGTCCGGGAAAATGCACTGAGGTCTCCACACAACCTCCTCTTCTCCAGCCTCAGCATTCCCCACTCTCAGCCCATCTCCTGTTATCAATCTYTYGGCCTCCTCTGGACCTGCTCCAACATTTCCGTGTCCTCCTCACGTCGGGGACCTCACATTCCCAGTGCCAATTTGTGCATAAACACCCCTTCCAGAAAATTTGGGAGTCAAAACACACCCCAGCCTGTCCATCTCCTTATCTTCACCCCTCCCAGAGGGTGTCTCCAGCATGAGCTCATTTTTGGAGGAGCATCCTCTGGGATTTTTGCTCTGTTCCTGCACAGGACAGGCGTCCCCAGGCCGGTGCTGTCCCAGCACTCACGTCCCTGGCTGTGCCTGTGACTCAGAGCACACACCCACGGGTGGCATCTGCAGGCCCTTTCATCTGCACAGGCTCGGCAGAGCTTCTCAAAGGTTCGCAAATTAAACCTGACAACACCTTTGCAAAATAGGTCTGGGCTGGTAACCCCACGTAGCAATTAGGGAAACTGAGGCATGGGCTGAGGAGCTGGCAAATTTTTTTTTCCGCAAAATGAAAGTTTTTTTTCCTCCCCTGAAATTGCTGCACAGCCTTTTTGTTTTTAATGTTTTGCTTTCTCTTATTTTTCACCTTTTGCATTCTCTTATTTTTCATGACCGTGACCCTTCCTCTTATTTTTCATGACCATGATCCCTCCAAACCCTTGCTCTTTTTTATTAATGCCTCATCATGCTGCTGTTCTTGTTCTGAACTTCATTTTTTTTTTTACTGTACCAGGAATTTGGGATGTTTTATTCCTTGTACCAAAGCGTTTCCACCATGTGATATCGCTGCACATGGCTGGTGCCTGGAAAACCAATCTCCCCAGGATGAAAAAGTGAAAGAAACTGGGTCCACTTCAAACTAAATAGAACAGAAACAGTTAAGCCAAGCCCGGGGCACTCCTTTAGACWGGCTCCAGAGCAGGTTTTCAAACAGCAGGCAGTGATGAAGTCATGGGGAGTCAGGCAGAATTGGCTCAGCCAGCCCATGATTCACTGGCCCTGGTTCTCACAACAACTCCRAGCTGAGCAGGAGCAGGGAACCTGCCCGGTAATTGCCTGCTCCGTGCTCTGCCCCACTAATCCACAGCCCTGCATATTTCCAGCCCTTCCTCATTTCTTCCACTTTTCCATTAAATAAATCTCCGGCCCAGAATTTGTGACGCCGGGGCGCAGCCGGGCTGTTTGTGCTGCAGGAGAGCTCACAGATCAATCCAGCAGGCATGTGGGGGCCGTTGGGCAATGCCAGGGCAGGAAAGCGGCTCCCAGGGTGACAGCAGAGCTGGCAGAACGGGTTCAGGGCTCCGTGCTGCTCTCACAGGGAGCACATTCCGACAGCAGCACATCCAGACGGGTCGGTGGGGTGCTCCTGGCAGAGAGGGCAGCTCATGGTTTCATGGTTTGGGGTGGAATGGACCTTAAATCCCATCCCATCCCATCCCATCCCATCCCACTCCCATTCCCATTCCCACTCCCATCCCATTTCCATTCCCACTCCCATCCCATCCCATCCCATCCCCTTCCTATTCCCACTCCCATCCCACTCCCATCCCATCCCATCCCATCCCATCCCATCCCATCCCATCCCATTGATCCCATCCCATGGTTTTGGAGTAGGTAAAGCAGATAAAAGGTTAAGAAGTGAATTTTTAGGTGTTGTGTTTGCTGATGTGAATGCAGGGTAAATCATAGAATGGATTGGAAAGGACCTTAAGGACCATCCCATCCTTTCCACTGTCCCAGGGTGCTCCAARCCCCATCCAGCCTGGCCTTGGACACTTCCAGGGATCCAGGGGCAGCCACGGCTTCTCTGCACCATAATTTCAATGAGATGGACACAATTTCGATGAGATAAACCCAATTTCAATGAGATAGACTCAATWTCAATGAGATAAACCCAATTTCGATGAGATAGATTCATTGTATAAGGTGTAAAGTGAAGCTCAGATGTTTTTGTGACAATGTGTTCATCATCTCTGAGTCTCAGATTAGGGGATGAAGGGAAGGAAAACTGAACCAGGAGGATTCCCTTTTTTTGGGGGGTGAATTTGGTTCAGTTCTGGACAATCCCCGATCAGGATTTGTCTTCCTACATCAAGATTTGGACTTTTAGGGTGTCGGGAGCATCCAAGGAGCTCCTCCAGGGTACCAGAGAGGCCAGGCACCCTTGCCAGGGCTGAAAGCAGCCCTGCAGGCTATGAGCAGGACCATGGGGAATCCTAATTATTGGAGGCAGCGACAGGCAGGACACGAGTGCCCTGTTGTGTAAGAGGGTGAGGTGGCACAGCAGTGACAGGGGTGTGACAGCACCAAAGGTTTGGGACACCCCCTTCCCCCAGCTCAGGCTGAAGATGGACGGGCTGAAGGGCAAAGCGACAGCTCGGCGTGAAATCAGAGGAAAACCAGAGGGAACTCTGAGTTTAAGGACGATGTCAGCTCAAACGGGGTGAATTGGTCATTGAAAAATGCAGGTTTGGGGTGAGGGGAGCTCCACAGGAGCAGRGGYYGGGGTTGGGAGCAGCCCTGGACCCCAAAACCCCGGGTTGTGCAGCCACCAGCGCGTTTCATAACAGCGCCGAGGATCCCGCGTGCCTTCCACGTGCTCGCAGGGCTTGTTCCACCATGTCCGTGTTGTYTATMATTAATTAATTAATTAATCTGCATTTCAAGGCTTCTGCTGGGTGCCTGCAGAGCCCAGGAAGGATCTCCCCCACCACTTTGATGCTTAACTCGGTTTCTGTGTCACTGGTTTGGAGTTTTTGTTTTCTTTTCCACCTCCTTTTCTCTGGAGATTGGCCCCGTGGGGAGGGGGAAGTTGGGTGGAGATGGTTCCACCTCTCAGGTGTCTCTCAGCACTAAAACACCAGCTCCAAATTCGGGATCAGGATCAAATTTGGGAT